GCTGCAAGCTGAAAGACTTCTCTAAAGGACTCCTGACAACTCCTTTTCTTTTGTTTGTTTGATATCCTTCACTTATGAATGATAAAGAATGATCAACTCTAACAGATGAGGAAGAAGCATGGGACGAACCATGGGTAGATAGCAAAGGTATCTCCTTAGGGAGTGCCCTTTTGATCCTACATTCAGCTTCATCAACTTGTCTGTTTATTTCAGTCAACTGCGAAGTAGTAATCTTGGGACACATTTTAATTCCATGGCCAGCTATCTTAAGTAGATGTGCTTTTACCCTAGAATATGATCCTTTGTAGGTTCCACCACAATAATTGCATTTGAATGACACATTCCCTCCTCCTTCGAATGTTTTTCCTAACTTGGTAACATGAAGCCATAATGACTTATCAGTTTCTACAGATTGTTCTTTTGAACCTTCGCCTAATCCACTCCCACCAGCCGTAGAGCTCATTTTGCTTTAAAATGCACTGGTAGAATGGAAGTAATAAAGGCTTAAAAAATGTCTCAAACTCATTTCAATATAAACATAAAGCTCTCTCACAATAAAACCACTATTTCAAAATACAAGAACAACCTATGAAACCAAAAGCAAAAGCAAGAAAAACATGTGGATTCATCCAATTCCTACAACAAGAAAAACATGTGGTTATCTTTTAAGTTTCTTTAGCTTTAGTTGATTCATCCAATTCCTACAGCTGTGAGGAGTTGGTTATCTTTTAAAATTTTTTTAACAATCCAACACATTTGTTTATGTCATATTTCTAGCAGATCGAAGTAGTTTGTTTCATAGACAATCAAAGACATTTGTGGTCTACATGAAATTTGTACAGGAAACAAAGGAGAAAATAGAAAACATAGCATCTACTTCGTGATGTTTTATTCCTTGATTGGCAAGGTAGAACAAAAAATTTGGAAAATAAAGAAGAAGCCAATCTTTAAACCTTACAAAATATCATTGCCTAATAAACTTCATCTAACAGCAACTAGAAATAGACATGCGTTTCAATCCAACAGCAAACACACGCAAGAATAGATCCATGCAAGATCCGGTCAAAGAACAAGAGGAGAATCATTCTAGGTAAAGTGAATACAAGAGAAAGAAATATTTCTCTATTTCAATCTCACATACCTTCTTCTCCTTCCAAATGAAGAAGACAATGCCCAAATGTAAAACCAGCTAGTTTCCCCTCTTCGGTGGAATTGTAGAAAAAATCAAGTTTCCTGTAACAGGAATCAGGTCAGAGCGTCGATTTAGGGGTTCTTTGGCAACAGGATTTAAGCAGGATTTATGGGATTTGGCCGAAGAAGCGCGCGAAATGGAGAAAGTTACCTTCGCAGCGAGCGAGCTCCTGTCGTTGCTTCCGATCAAAATGTTGTAACTTCCGCGTCGAACTTACAGATCCGGAATCTGGATCGGCAGCTCGGGACGGCCGGAAGCTGTCCTACTCGGGAAAGCCGGAAGCTGAAGGCAACGGTGCGGGATGGAGGCTGGAGCCTTGATCGAATGCGCGACTCCTCTGCTCGGGACGGCCGGAAGCTTGCCTGGTCGGGACGGTCGGAAGCTGAAGGCGACTCCTCTCGAGGGTGTGGGCTGGAGCCTCGGCTGCGACTCCTCTCTCGCTCGAATGAATGAAACGCGGGCGGCATTAGGGCTATTTCCTGTGCGTGCCCTTATTAGGTTTTTTTTTTTAATTTAAAATATGAAATAATCGGACACGCGTGTCGGACACGCGTGTCCGGCTTAAGTTTTATTTTTTTCAACCCGGACACACCCAGAATGTGTCGGACACGTGTCCATGTCCGACACGTGTCTGACACTGCATTGCCTCTTAAAACGGAGTGTCGGTGCATCATAGAGCTAAACAAGTTATCATGACAAATTTATTATTGCTTGTTATTTGTAATATAATATCACATTAATTTTTGTATATTATATTAAAAATTTATTATGACGTGTCCACGCTGCACCCGTGTCCGATATTTTTAAAAAATGCCGTGTCCCGTGTTCATGTCGTGTCGTGTCCGTGTCGCCGTGTCCGTGTTGGTGCATCATAGAACGACAATAAGTACAAGCAATTATTGAATGTAAATTAGATAAAATGTAATTTAATTTTTATTTGTGACTTGATATCAAGAAAATTTTTTTAATGTAATTTAATTAAACATGCACAGAGTTATAATATTTTTGTGAAATTTAATATCAAATTTAATTATTTAATTAAAGTTAATTCATAAATTTTAAATATCATTTGATCGTAAAATAATATGAATGAAATTAATTAATATTATATAAAAGATATAATTATCAACAATAAACTTTGAAATGTTTTCAATGAATCAAGTTGTTGAATAGAATTTTTCATATGTATGTATCCATATATATTTATAATAGAGAGAGAGAGAGAGAGATTTTTGAAGTTCTTATTATTAGTTTTATGATAGATTATACTTTTGAACAAAGACTAAATTTTATACAAGTGCACGTGCCGTTCTAATAATAAAGAGGTGAGTTAAGTATCTATTCCACGAGAACTTGAATACATCTGGATAAGGTATCGGCCGCTTTATTTTTCAAATCAGGCATGTATTGGATCTCAAAATCATAGCCTAATAGCTTAGACAACTATCTCCGATGCTCCTCAGTCACCATCCTTTACTCCAACAGGTACTTCAAGTTTCTCTGATTCGTTTGGACAATGAAATGCCTATCCAAAAGGTAAGGGTGCCACTTCTGAATAGACAAAATAATGGCCATCAGCTCTCTCCCATACATCGACTTCAATCTAGCCCTGGTTAACAACAATTGATTGAAGTATGTTATAGGTTTGTGATTCTGCATCAGCACTACCCCCAACCCATATCCTAACGCATCGGTCTTTACTACAAAGATCTAGCTGAAGTTCGGAAGAGCTAAAATTGGAGCTATAGTCATGGCTTTCTTTAATTTCTCAAAATCATGAGTCGTTGCCTCTCCCCACAAAAAATTATCCTTCTTCAGTTGCTCGGTCAAGGACCAATCTATGATACTATACCCCCTTACAAATCTCCTATAGTAACCAGTCAATCATAGGAAATCTCTCAACTCCCTTGGGTTCCTAGGTATAGGCCATTCTGCATTGCCTCAATTTTTGTTTGATCAGCCGCCACTCCCTCCTGGGACATTTCTCAAGTACTCCACACTAGACTGAGCGAAGCTGCACTTCTTTAGGTTGGTCCTTAGCTGATGCTCCTGTAAAACTCCCAGAACCCGCCTTCAAGTGCTCCAGATGTTCCTCCTCAGTTTTGTTGTACACTAGGATGACATCAAAAAATACCATAACAAACTTTTTGAGGTACTGCTTGAATAGCCTGTTCACCAAAGACTGGAAAGTAGCTGGGGCGTTAGTAAGCCCAAACAGTATTACCAGAAACTCATAATGCCCTTCATTTATCTTGAAAGGTGTCTTTGAAATATCTGTCTTCCTCATTCTAATTTGATGGTACCCTTATTTCAAATCTAGCTTGGAAAATATGATTGCCCCATACAATTCATCCAATAGCTCATCAATCACAGGAATAGGGAACTTATTTGACATTGTCCCCTTATTTAAAGCTTTGTAGTATACACAGAATCGCCAGCTCCCATCTTTCTTCTTAACTAGTAGGGCTAGACTAAAGAAATGACTCACACTCTGCCTAATAATCCCAAATCTTTAGCTTCCGGCTAGGGAGTGGATGCACTTTTTTCTCGAAATTAGCAAACGACAATAAAAAAATTAGGAAGAAAAACACACCAAAATTATTTTTATTACAAGATATATGAAAGAACATAGCAATATACAGTTGGATCTTCAATTTGAGAGGAAGATTTTTCTCTCCCAAATCCCTAGCTTCGGGGCCCAAATAACCTAAGAAATTCTAATTTCAGCAAACTCCAAACATAATCTAAAATCATTCCATAGTTAGCCTTAAATAGACTCCCATAATTCCCTCCCAAATCAACCCCCTTTCCCTATATAAATCCCTCTCATATTTGAATTCAAATTAGATATGTTTCCATAATTCATTCCCTCTCAATTGTAATTAAAACATTTGTAAACAATCCCCTTTAATTCCTCATTTTTCCTAAATAATTTCCTCTTAGATTTTGAATTCAAATTAGATATCTTGTCTTAAATAATTCCCTCCCAAATGTAATTAAAAATTTTCCTAAACAATTCCCCTTTGATTAAGAACCTTCCTAAATAGTTCCCTCTTAATTAGGAAACTTCTTAATTCCCTCCCAATCAAATCGGCCGGTCTATCATAGAGGTCTTTTCTTAAGACTTGAGAAAGATCAAATTGAGCTTCTTTTTTAGGCAGATAACAATAGCAATCAATATTAAGTCCACAATGCTCAAGACTAGAAGTACTTAGTAATATATACATCTATTGGGACATTAATGGGTGTACATTAACATCCATGAAGTTTGATGGTTCATGTATAGTGCACGAACATGTCCGGTTATTTGTGCTAATAAATATGGCAACAAAACTGAGATACATGAGAATGGAAATAAATGAAAACTTTCTTGTGCAATTCATTATAAACTCATTTCGTTCTTAGTAATCCCATTTTAAATGAGTTATAATACCATTAAGAATAATTGAAATGTACGTGAATTTCATAATACCATTAAGAATAATTGGAATGTATCTATATGCTCATTCAAGAGGAGGTTATGCTAAAGAAACAATAGATTCAAGCTTCATTTGGGATGACTTGTTTTAAGAAGCAATAAAAAAATCTGTCTCAAATGAAGCCTCAATCAATTATCTCTTTGGTCAGCAAGGAGCTTGGATAAAAATAAAAAATCAAAAAGAATAATGGGAAGGGAAAGCAAGGACTACATATAGTTAATGTGCCATTTTTCCCGATTCACAATAATGGCTAGTGTTATTTCTGCAAAAAGCTTATAGATACTTTCACAAAGATTGCTTCTTAACAGCACACTCTACTTCATGCACAGATACAGAGCAGCCATATGACAAACTCAGAAATATGGAGCAGACACTTTTCAAGCATATCAAAGAAGAACAATTGGATTATAAGCCTTGCACTCGTGAAGCAACTTAGCACTTTATCTATATATACACTATACAACCAAGACAAATGTATGTATATGAAGAAGCATGTTGAGGTGTTCTTCTTCATCCTAATTTTTATAAATGTATGCTTTGAAAATTTCAATTTATCCTAGTAAGACAATTTCAGAGGGCTCTATTGAAAAATGGATGGAAAGAAAATCCAATTTAAGGCAACTATATCTCCGAGTTTTCCCCATAGAATTACAAATTTATAATTCAACTAAAAAGAAATTTGTCCCAAGAGTCTTCTTAATTGGTTATGAGGTATGATTTCATTGTTCTAACCATAATCTGAGAATTATTGAATTATTTATTTGTTAAATATGGATTTCCTGTAAGGCCTTTTGAACTGTGGACGATGAAGAAATTCAATTTAAGGCATCTTCTATATCGAAGCTTTTCTCCTATTTTAGAAAAGGATTTTCAGTTATTATGGCGATGAACAGTCATAATAACTTAAAGTTTTATCAAATAAAAAAAAAAAGATATTATATTTTTATATAAAACATCATTTATTTGTTATAATGTTAAAAAGTGAATACTTCTTGGGATGATAAAGCAGCTTCACGTTATTATTATTATTATTATTTTTCTCAAAAGAATGTACCCTGGAGAAGTATTACTGCTGTTCAGTAGTCGAAGTAAGTAGCGTAATTTTCCGGGCTAATTGCGTCTTTGTTAGAAAAGATAAAAAAAAAGCAGAGATGGCTTCGCTTTCGATTACTTGTTTTGACCATCCTTAAGGAAGAAAATTTTGGTGCCAGGTTGAGGTTTGGTTTGGGACAGCTTTATTATTGCTTTCTAAAATGAAATTTTAGTAAAAAAATAAAAAAAAAATTATACTAAAACTCCATTTTAGAAAGCAATAAAAAAGCCGTCCCAAATGAACCCTGAGTAATCAATTAGTATACGAACATCAGTATCAATTTATATGATACAGTTGTTCGTCGGAAAATGAAAGGATCTCCTCCATTGTAACTCTCTTTAAGATCAACGTTTTATTAAGCTGCTTTCCTAAGTAAGTAAGTATATTGAAGAATGGTAGCAGCAACTCACTTAAGAAGTGTATTTAAAATCTAAATAAACTGTTTTTTTTTTTTTTTCTTTAAATTTAGTTTGAATTGAAATTTATATATACACATCATCGTGAAGAAAAAAACAAAAATTGAAGGAATGAAAATGTTTCTCTCACTTAAGAAGTGCATCATTCGTAGACTTCAAAAAAATTTAGGGAATTTTGGCCTATAGCATTATATTATTACCCTACACACTTCGCCCAGTTTCTAGAGGCTCCGCAGAATGTCCTTTCTTTCCTGCTTTATTCTAGATTTTGTTTAGGGGGCGTGAATGGAATCTGAACTGAACGTCGTGTAAATAAATATGCTAGAACGAATAAATATCAAGAAATAACTATTTTGGCCAGAACATTAAATGATTTAAATGTTTATTGAAAAATTAGGACAATAAATCATTGGCTTGGTCGACAATTCTAACACAAAATAAAAATGAAAATAAATAAATAAGAATTGATTTGTTGGATTCAAATTTATTCGTTATTAGGTTAAAGCTATAAAACTATTTGAGGGAGTTTAGTGAGCATGGAGAGTCAATAAAAAGCTATAATATCTATGTAAATATTCCTAATAGCATGAAGATCCAAAATATGCTTCCTCACATGTTTTTTTATATGATTAAGATGACTATAAAAAAGGCTACACTTAAAATGAAAATATATAAAAAATTAATGTATGATGTGATTGATATAGATTGATGCTGATATGTTGACTAGCTACATGATATAAATATGGATCACTACCTCTAATGTGTCCCTCTTCTCTTAGGCGAGTGCCTTGGATGAGTCTTCGAGAGCAAGTATAGTTGCCAAATCTTTGAGATCTTGGTCACTTAGCTATTATGTGAAGGAAAGTCCCTGGGAACAAACGTCAAATCCTTATGAGCAAGAGGTGAGTCCATTTGGCAGAAGTGGCTATGAACCACAGATAAGATTAATCAATGAAGTCCTACACATAGGCTTCAAAGGTGTTTGCTTCTTGTAATTTAAACGAGAATATTTGTCATAGGCAGACAACCTTGATTGTAGACAACAGTTGCAGATGAGGTGGTTCTATTGAGGTGAGTAATCATTAAGGTGTAGACTTCTCCAAGCAAGTCCTTTGGAGGAGCTCTTTAAGGAAAATTATATGCTTTGTCGGTATGTTATGATCTAAGTAGGGGAGAGTGGTTAATTGCCCATAAGCTAATGTCAACTACTACACTGCGAGGTCACACTTTATTCAAGCGAGTGCCACTTTGACCATGTAATTCCTTTGATTGAATTCCTTGACAAGAACCTATTAGATTCCTTGATGTGAACCTATTAGATACCTAAGAGTTACCTACTTGTGCATGTATGAGTTTGCATTAGTTCCTTGATTCACTTGCTCCTACGAAAGGCATGTTACAAAAAGGACAAATAAATTTAAGATAAGAAGCATTTCTAACTTTTTTTACCAATTGTATAAAGGTAGATTAAGAGTTATTGGCTTATTATTACTATTGCCATGAGCATTGAGCCGTCTTTTAAGATTCTTCATTATTGCACTAATTTGACTTCCACACTATCTTTAGCTATATAAATACCTAAATAAGGAACTCCTCCACAAGCATAAGCTATTGAAATGTGAGGAGAAGAATTCTAGATTGCTGATAAGTAAGAAGAAAGTGATGGCTATTGAGACAAAGTTATCCATCAATATAGAGTTCAGCAGTCAAGTAGTGATTATGCCAAAAGAGATTGAAAAGGTTAAATCGAGCAAGGCGGTGTACTGCGAAGAATATCTTGGAGAGGGTTATCCTCTCATCAAGCCATGATGGTGTGCCTTCAATAAAAGGAACATAGGTAATTCTCTACATTATAGGCCGTGAAGAGCTTGAAGTGGTAAGTCTTATTCCTGAAGTGGCAGCTCCTGTTTTGGAAGTGGCACAAACTAGATCCTCAGTCAAACTCACTAGCAATCATGACCTTATTTAGGAGGATGTTGGTAGTTCCAAGCAATTAATGATTGTAAGAAGAGTTCTTTCTTAGTTTTTGAGTGAGTTATGTAAGGAGGTCAAGCATCACCAGCCTTGAGAGAGCAAACTGTTCATTTGACTTAGGGAAATTCTTAGTTCACTCATCAAATGAGTTTCAAGTGTTGTTTATAACTCAATAGGCACTAGGCTTGTAAACCATGACTGTAGATTTATATGATAAGTTGCTAGAGATTCCATTAATTCTCTTGGAAAAAGAATTTATTCTTCCTGATCCTTTCCTCTAAACCATAAGATCGACTCAATTGGTGGTGAGTATAGTAGGCTAGTGCATTCCACCCTCTGTAGAAGGTTAATTCAGGACTGAAACTACCCTTCCCATATGAAGCTATTAAAGCTCAACGTGAAAGGTGATGACAACTCGTTTGGGTCCTTGAGTCAATACAGTTAAGTCAGTTCCTAGCTAGGGGTGCTTCTATCACAACCCAACCCGACGAGTACAAGTCCTATCATGTTGAGTCATAATAGGTAAATCCCAATATCTAGTTTTAGAATTATTTTATATTTTTTTGCCAATATTGCTTGAAATAAATGACAGATTGCAAAACTACTAAAACATCCAAATACTAAAAATAAACTCATCCATAATATTTCTTTTATTTCATCAAAATAAATATCTACACTACAGTTAATGGATACATGCAAGAGTTATAGGTAAGAAAATTTAACTAGCCATGATTGTACAAAAAATAAAATAGCAAAATACTTATGATCTCATATATGATCATGTCTGCTAGTGTATAATCTCTTTTTCCTTTGTAGATCCTGAAAATCAGAAGCAAAATCACAGTGAGTTACAATAGCTCATCAAGTCACATAAATTAATCTAAATTTTTAAATATTTTTTTTATCAAATATTTTACAAAATATTTAAAAATAGTTAAATACAATTTAAATAAATCACTATACTAACGGATGTAATAAATGCATAATAATTATCATGATTTAAATAACAATACTAAATAAATAAATAAATAAATTGAAATTCATTTCACAAAGCAGTTCATATCACATTTCCTATACCAGATAGAACCTTAAAGAATTCTAGCCCCTTATGACTCCTTTTTTATTTGTGCTTATAGCACCAGAACATGTCATATATCTCTATTTTAGACAAAATGTCAAAGGATTCTGTCCACTTATAACCCCTACAAAATTTTCTGACACAAACAGAATCTCAGAGGATTCTAGCTCCTTGTGGCTCCCAACAGATATAATTTGATCATATATGCACATATATCATCATATTATAACAATTAAAGAGTAATTGAGCATGTATCAAAATTACACAGTGTTGTATAACGGTAGACAACAAAAATTCTACTATGCAAAAATACATATTTTAAAAAATTATCAAATTATCAGGGATCGTGTAAAACGACGCTTTAAGACTTTATTGTACTGCACTATTTTTCAACATTCAAATAATTTTTTATTCAATAAAAACCCCACAAATTTTAAAACTCCGTTGTAAAATTTCTAAAAAAATTTCTAAATTTGCATAATCGTAATCTCTATAATATATAAAAAGTTACTTGGTGAAATTTTACCTATGTAAAGTTATCTTCGTTTTTAGTTAACGAATAAAAAATTCACTAAAAATTATGCATTTTTAAAAATTGAGATGGGCATAATGTAATTTATTTCAAGACGAACAAGTTTCCCAACTAGACGGTGAATTAAAACGGCTATAAGACCTCCAAAATCGGATTTCTAATTTCTATCACTATCTCTTTTTCTCACCTTTTCCCTCAGTCATTCTCTGTTAACGTTTTGGCAAAAAGAATTAAATGGGATTTTAATATACTAATAAGTGGGATTATATATTTTATTAAAATATTAATTATTTTAATTATTTAGTATTAAAATATTAATTTAATGCAAATTCTTTTATATCTTTAAATCCAAAAATTACATAAAAATATACATAAATTAGTTATTCATGTTTAAACACTCGAGTGAAATTGGTTTGCAAAATGGACACATAACGATCCCAAAAATCCAACTTGTACCTACAAGTGCTGATTTCTTAAGAAATTTCAATAATGCCCAAAAATTATGAGAAAATATGGTAATTAAACCACAAAATAATAAATGTTCTAGCGAAAACAATTTGTGATTTGAATTTATAATGACCCATGACATAATTATTGACTTCTATAGGTTAAAATATTTAAAAAAATTAAGGGCTTTCATAGTTTCATCCTATGATACATAATAGAGAGGGTTGAACTATCTTTGTATTCTCACCTTGGTGCTTCCTCTCTCTTTTCTCGTTTCTTATTCTTTTATTATCGCATGCATTTCCTCTATATATTGCAACTTTGAGAAGATGTCATAAAGTGTTCATCAAGTTCAAGTACTATCAAGTCTCGAAGGATATTATGAAATTTGTTGATACAATCTTGTTTGAATACTAATTTGGTCACATAAAATGTCGGTCTTCCGAGGACTCAATTAGAAGATAAGATGTAGTAGATCTGGCCTATGTTAAGAGAGTTAGAGGTGGACCTAAAAAACTTGGTTAGATAATATTCATCCTTACCTTCTCCATAAAAAACTTTAATCATGGTAGCATCTAGTTCTTTTATGCCTGCATAAGGACGGACGACCTAGTGAATAAGGTTAGGAATTTGCAGGTGAAGCTCATTTTTATTAAGTCTCTTATGGGATGGGAAGTGCTGACTTTCCATTGCTCTGGCCTCCCCGTGCCAGACTATTTTCTTTTTGTGTCTGTGATGACGACGGAAAGTTTTAACATATTTAGATTTCAAGTAAATTTTCAGAAGGCAGATTGAGTTATAGAAAAGGCACTACCTTGAGATTTCGCCCTCATTTTGTGAGGACTTTATGATCTAAGCTATGATTTTCTATAGGAGCAAGCCCCTATAGTTAATTACCCCTTTCGATAATGAGAGAATTTTCGATTAAGGCTAGTCGTTAAAGAGATTACATAGGTTGTAAATCCAACGTATAATAACAATAATTTTAGGATTTGAATTTGTGATAAGAATTATGTGATTTGAATTTTATCATCATAAACTTAAAATTGGTGATGAGAGGAATGAAGGAGCCTGATCAAGATCTCATGGTTCCATCATCTCGGGCTGTCGTGTTCTATGGTCTATTTAGTTAGTCCAACCTGACAGAAGGCACTTTATCAGCAGTAATGGGTTACTTCTTTCAAGAATACCTTATAGACCTAGGTTGGTATTTGTCTAAGGGAATAGTTCTGAATCCATCTTTGCTGACAGAGGGCTTTATGCCTATCAAATATAACCTATGATTCATCACTCAAGGATTTGTCACCGTTAGGCCACTCGATATGGAAGTCTAGGAATTTTTTATTCTGGAATTGCTTGATCATTCTTCTGGGTTAGGATTTTTTTTTGCAGTGCACCCATGCACTCCCCTAGGATGGTCTCACTAATTTCTAATTTTAAGGATGGTCTCATTGACAAGCAGGGGACATCCCTTGCGAGGGTGTTTTTGTCCTTTTTTAGTCCTGTTTCTTTTCTTATTTATAGTCATTTGTTTTGGCTAGCTAGGGATTTTCTTTGAATGACCTGGCTGTTTTCCCTTTGGTAAATTTTTTGTGGTCTACAATCCTGATGTGTTCATAATCTTTACCTGAAACGGGCTCTGCCCCTTATTTTTACCCCCGAAAACAAAAAACAAACAAACAAAAAAAAGAGGCAGACTTTAAATATATCTGTTAATAAAAAAATGGCGAATGTGCGCATCAGTGGGCCTCCACATTGAGGGAGGATCTGAAGATAGTATCCGATTCTCTCATTTCTTTTTATATTTAGAGCAGCTCGCGCCCCGCCTAGCCGCGGAAGAAGCCGGCAGCAGGTTCTTCGCAATTTCAACCGTCGTTTAATTTGTTATCGGCTCCGACGATCATTTACCTCCTTCTCAACCTCCAACTAATTCCTCTTTTGGAGTGGTAGCAAACCAGCTAGCTCAGGGCATTCTTCTTCTTCTTCTTCTTCTTCTTCTTCTTTCCTTTTTCTTGAAGTGAAAACTAAAAATAAGCAAGCCATTCTAGGTAATCAAGCCGGTTTACTTAAAATCTGAAGAGGAAGGCAAAGCATATGAGGTCAGGGAACCATAGCATACTTCCCAGTAGCCGGAGGGCAACTCAGAAGCTTCGCTTGCTTGTATCGCCCACAGCGGCTAGCGGCTCTATCAAAGCCTCGACAGCTGCTAAGATGAAGGCGTTAATATCCATCTGCATCGGCATCACTATTTTCCTCATTGCTGCCCGAGCCGCTTCCGCCTTGGCTGCCCTGGCCTTTCACCGACTGCATCACCGCCCCACGGCTTCTTTCTTTCCTGCTTCGCCGTCCATCCCCAGGTCCGCTTCTCTCTCTCTCTCTCTCTCTCTCTCTCTCTCTCTCTTTCACTTGTACGATATCTTGTTATTAGTTCTTTTTTTACATGCCTTATTAAAAAAATTATGTGGCAATTAATTTCAGTTCAATCACAATGATGATTAATTAGGCATATATGCCTATTCTTTCAACTCAGCTTTATGAATTCCCTTTCTCTATTGATCTTTTTGAAACTTGATACCAAGTTAACGGACAGTTTTAAATCTGAAGTCAAATTCATGAGATAAATTCAAATGATTTCCAAATGGAAAACTAAAATACAGCATTTTCAGAACGGATAATAATTTCGACGTTTAAGCCCTTAAAAATGGTATTTTCGGACTGATATCGACAAAGGGAGTAACTATATATACCATGCAGGGTCAACTTCTTCAAGATGGTATATATTAATCTTATCGTAAGGGGAAAAAATCAACATTAGATTCTTTTTCCCTGTTTTTCCATTTTGGTTTATGCTGGCTTAGGCTAAAGCTTAGAAATTAATCCATTGAGGACTTGAAGAGTCAATCCCTACCAAACAGCAAAAATGAACCTGCCCAATCAGATGTTCATTTATATATTAAAAAGTGCAAGATGAATATTTGGCTATGTGCCTTGCTGTTCCTCTACTGAGTTCACATTTTCAGCTTCTGTAAATGGATCATAGCTATGATATTTGTAGACATTGTCTTTTATAAGAATGTTATTGTTGCGGGCTAGAATATACGCGGCGGTAGAGTTTACAAATTCACGTCCGAGCGTTGCACAAATATTCAGCACACAAACAGAAAAGAAAATGAACACCATAATTTTTATGTGGAAAACCCAGAAGAGGGAAAAAACCACGGGGCCAAGCTCAGCTGAAAAGTTCCACTAGTGTTTTTGTAAATTACAAAAAACTGATTCGTCCCACAAATCCGAACGATCAGATTGCAACTTGAAGCAAATTTACAAAGTTTTGCAGAATCCCGTCGTTTCCAAAAAATCCGGTAGAGTTCCAGCGTATTCAGGCGGCGGGAAGAGCTCCGGCGGTGGTCGAGGAGGAGAGGATTTTCCCTTCCCCTTTCTCTTCTTCTTCCCTTCTTCTTCTCTCTCTTCTCTTGAGTCCCCTTTGTGTAGAATGAGTGCTCTATTTATAGTTTTTCTGGAGTGGCATAGCTCGTAAATAGGTGTGAGATCATGGGGAGAATAGGGAGTGGTCGAATGGACGGCCGATATTGAACCCTTCGATTGTGCACCGTTCGTTGGACATTTGGAGGCCTTAATGATGTCGGAATTCGGCAATCTTGGGCTCGTTGGATTTGTCTCGCCGAGCCGTTCGATTCGAGTATAAGCTCGTTAAAATCGGAGACCGTTTGGTAACTCAAATTGTGGTTTGAACCTTCTAACAGCGCTTCGGGTCCTTGATTTGGACCCATTTGGGCTCGGATTTGGTTGAATTTGGTATCGTTGGGTTCGTGTTTCCGAGGCGCTCAGTTTGACTGTAAGCTCGCTGAAATCGGAGTTCAGGTGCTCCCGGATTTAATTTTTGAAGTTTCCGGGTTGATTTTTGCCTCGAGATTCGTGCCCGATCAAGATAATTTTTTTAAGAATATATCAGTTATATAAGCAGAACCTGACCATGAAAAATGAAAAGTTTGAACAAGGCTAATCTGATATGTATATGCAATTCATATTTCGTATTATGTACAATATAAGGGTGCGAAAGTTGCAATTCATATGATTTTTGAAGCTATACATATTTCTCATTAAACACACTTTTCAAACCTGTATTTAAAGTGAAAATGTCTGGTATGGTGATTTGAGTAGGTTTTAAGCTCATAGCCAGTTTTTTTTACAAGTATGTTTGGATGTTGATACAGTAGTGCTTGAGTTTCACAAAATAGTTTCGTATATTCTTTTTTTGATATATATCTAGCCATCGGTGTATATGCCTTGGCTCAGTCTTCCAATGATTTATTACCCTAAGAAATAGTATTAGAAGCAAGGTTCTACTATACTAGAGTGATCTTCACAATTTATAGCTCTAAAGGAGTGAGGCATACTTTCTCACATTGGCAAGTTATAAATAACTATTGCATCTCCGGTACACCTGCAATTTCCAATAAATAAATAAATAATAAATTTAGTGGGAAATTTCATTCGATATTGTTTTTGTGAAGTTGCATCTATTCATCTCTGATATACTTTCTTATTGACTATGTAAAATCCTTGTTGTTCAGGAAAGCGTACACAGTATTGATTAACACATGGAAGAGAAATGATCTTTTGCAGAAATCAGTTATTCATTATTCAAAATGTGCTGGAGTTAATTCCATACATATTGTGTGGAGTGAACCTAATCGCCCATCTGATTTACTTTATGAAGTTTTAAGAGAGGCTGTACATTCAAATTCTATTCGTGGCAACAGTATTGAACTTATTTTTGACTTGAACCAAGAAAACAGTTTAAACAACAGATTCAAGGAAGTCAAGGATCTAAAATCTGATGCTATATTTTCAATTGATGATGATGTTATTTTACCCTGCAAATCAGTGGATTTTGCTTTTAGTGTATGGAAAAGTGCACCAGAAACAATGGTGGGATTTGTTCCACGTATGCACTGGTTGGATAACTCGGTATGCAGCAATTCTTCCTCCCCGTTCCTTTGTTCTTGTTGATTCCCTAATTTGTTTACATTTAATTAGCTTTGGGAACCATGCTCTGATCAAATTGGACTTTAAATTTTAGCAGGATTCGTTGATTTTTTAGCATCTATTTGATTAATTCCATGGAATTGAGGCTTTAGAAAGAACAGAAGCGCAATTGTATGTTGAGTGTCTATATGCTATATTAATAGAGGGGAATTTGATGCACGTTTTGTTTCACTACTGTGCCTATCCTGATTGTACTGTTATATATTAAAACAAACTACTAATGTCTACTGAAAGTGTTCAGGATCAACATGCCAAACATTAGGCATCACTTTATTACAATAAACTGTTGGACAAAATACTGAAATATTCCGCAAATTAGCTAAAAAAAACGAGGATAAAAGTCCATAGTCATGATGTTAGGACATTTTCTCAATAATTTATCTAGGATAGGAATAAATTTCAATATAGATAACTTCATGATAAATATAAATTTATCTAAATTATCTGGGATAATTAAAAATTCTTACTTATATTCTTGGATAAAAATATGTTCAAAATTTGTTATTTGGAGTAGCTCTAAGTTAATTTCAAATTAGATTTAAAACTCACTCCATTAAAAGCTTATAAATACATAAAAGAATTGAGATGCCTTATATTTGTTCATGGACAGGTGTTTGAGAAGAAAAAACTCACTCCATTAAAAGCTTATAAATACATAAAAGAATTGAGATGCCTTACATTTGTTCATGGACAGGTGTTTGAGAAGAAACCATATTTAAATAGTGTTGCGGATCTTTTAGGAAAACAAAAAGAGTCCTACTTTTGGAGATTAAAAAGATAATAAGCTTTTGGAGACATAAATTCACAGTTGGCTGTTAGTAGAGAGAGAAGGGTGTTGAGAGAGAGGAAGATAGATACAACTTGGAAGCAGAGAATGATTTTTTTTTTCGGTCTATCTTGTAATCATGATAAATTATTTTGATGTGATGCAAGCACGATGGTGTCAAAATAAACGTGATGATGCGTTAGGAAGCATGGTGACTCTATTTGGACAAGTATTTCAATGGATATCTCTTAAATGATTTTACTATGTGTTTCTCATTTCTCATCTCTCTTTTGATTCTGTTTTGATTTTAGCAAGAGAAATATGGGGTTTCTCATTTGCAATAAGATTGGATATAATTGAATTTGGGGATCAGTATTTTCTTGTGCCCTACTTGTTTGTATACGTATGTAATTCGTTAATAATTGATTTGTTCCTTTGCCCTGTCCCAGGAATAGAAACTATTGTTTTGACTAAACAACTTAAAGCTTGGTGTCTTGTTGTGATTTTTTATTCCTTTGTTATTACTTTGTGTTCATCCTATTTGCGACAAGTAGGTGTTTCCGCATTTAAAAAATAAAATAAAATTAAAAAATTGGCTTTCCAAACTCAATGTTGCCTCTTAGATTAAATTAGATTCATCTCTTTTTGTCTTAGTTTCTTTGAGTTGTATTGAACTTATTTTCTCTTCTTGAAGATAAAAGACATATTTTGAAAAATAATTAATTTATTAGATCCCATCATTTGATTAGAAGTACCTAAAAACAAGCATAGATTTTAAACTATCTTAAATGCTTCAATAACCTTAAATATGATGATGATTTCATCTCCGCACATAATGACTAAAAATAAAATAATGAGTTTCTAGATCATTCTTATTAGTACGAACTAAATAAGCTCTTAAACAATTTTGAAATGTGCAACTAAGTGTGTAATATGCACTAATGATATGGATAGACCAAATTGATGCTGAGGATTTAAATGAAAGGAGGTAAACCAATTTAACATCATTAGAATTTGAGAAAAGATTTTGCGCACAGCAGGATAGAACATATTATGCAATACCCAATATGAATGAAAGAAGAATGAAGATTCATAAAGCTGACTTTGAATTATTGGGATTAGGTTGTTTCTATTGCTGATGATGATAAGAAAAAGGAAGCTTCAATGTTACTACCAATGCAGCTATGCTAAATTATCTTGCTCTTTTAAAAAAAAAGTACTTCACACCTTTATTGCCAATTTTATTATAACAATTCAGTGAATTTAACATCTTCAAGGCCCCTCAAATATGATGATGATTTCATTTCCATACATAATGACTAAAAATGAAATAATTATTTTCTAGAACATGTCTTCTATTTTTAAGGAACCAAATGAGCTCTTAAATGATCTTGAAATGTGCAACCAAGCATGGAACATGCAGTAATGAAACTGATAGTCCAAATAAATGTTGAGGGATTTGCAAGAAAAAGAGGTAAATCGATGTAACATTAATAGAACTAGAGAAAATGTTTTTTGTACATTAGGATAGAACATATTACGCAACAGCAATATGAAAAAAAGAGGAACGAGGATTCAGAAAGTTGACTCTTGATCATTGATATTAGGTTGTTTCAATTGTAGATAACGATGAGAAAAAGAAATTCTCATTGTTACTGTTGCGTTCTGGAGTATTCGCGGCGGTAGAGAAATATATAGTTTAACTTCTTAACATTGTACGAAGATCCAGCACACAAGCAGATAAGAGAGAGGACGTAGCGTTCATAAGAGACACCAGAGTTTTTACGTGGAAACCCCTGAAAAGGGGAAAAAATCACAGGGCCTAGCCCAATTTGAATGAATCCATTAGTATTTGCAGTCGATTACAAATGAGTCCCTTCTTAGGGAGAAGGCCTTGGCTTGATGGTACAAATGTACATCATATAGAGCGCATTGCATGGTGGGAGTTACAATAATCAACATAGACATGTTTGTTTAGTCAGCAGAACCATAGTTGATAAGATAGAGATCGGAAATACCATAGTTGGCAGGAGACCGAGGTTAGAAAGACCGTTGTCTAGTGATGAAGGTTAGAATAACCATAGTAGGCAATGGAGGTCGGAAGGACCGTAGTCTGCAGGAGACAGGAGTCTGAAAGACCATAGTTGGCAGGAGACCGGGGTCTAAAAGACCGTTGTCTGGTGATGGATGTCAGAATGACCATAGTAAGCGACGGAGGTCAGAAAAACCGTAGTCGGCAGGAGACAGGGGTCTGAAAGACCGTAGTTGGTAGGAGACCGGCCGGGGTCAGAAAGATCGTTGTCTAATGATGGAGGTCAGAATAACCATAGTAAGTGATGAAAGTTGGAAGGATCGTAGTCGGCCAGAGACAGGGGTCTGAAAGACCGTAGTTGGAAGGAGACTGGAGTGAAAGACCGTAGTTGTAGGTTGATACTTCGGTAGAACTCCAGGCATCAGGTGGTGGCCTGGTGGAGCACTGGGCCTCAAGTGGTGGTCCAACGGAAGTTCGGGCCTTAGGTGATGGTCCAGCAGAAGTCCAAGCCTTAGGTGGTGGTCCGGAGGATCAACAACGTCAGGCGGTGGTCCGACGGAGGAGAGGGCCTTAAGTGGTGGTCTGGTGGAGCTTAGGGCCTCAGGTGGTGGTCCAGCGGAGCAACAACGTCAGGCGGTGGTCTGACGGAGGTGAGGGCCTCAAGTGATGGTCTGGCGGAGCTTAGGGCTTCAGGTTGTGGTACGACGGAGGTGAGGGCCTCAAGTGGTGGTCCATCATAGCTCAGGGCCTCAGGTGGTGATTCGGCGGAGCAACAATGTCAAGCGGTGGTCCGACGGAGGTGAGGGCCTCAAGTGGTGGTCCGTCGGAGGTGAAGGCTTCATGTGGTGGTCTAGCGAAGCAACGACGTCAGGCGGTGGCAGAGGTGAGGGCCTCAAGTGGTGGTCCTGCAGAGCTCAGGGCCTCAGGTGGTGGTCCGACGGAGCAACGACGTCAGGCGGTGGTCCGACGGAGGTGAAGGCCTTAAGTGGTGGTCCGACGGAGCTCAGGCGGTGGTCGAAGAGGAGCTTCTTCCTTCTCTTCTATTCTTCTTTAGACTCCCTTTTAAGAGAAATGAGTGGTCTATTTATAAATTTCTGGAGTGGCATGACCTGTAAATAGGTGAGAGATCATGGGTAAAGGGGGAGTGGTCGGATGGACGGCCGATGTTGAATCCCTTGATAATGGACCGTTTGATGGACATTTGAATGTCTTAGTGATGTCGGAATTCAGCGATCTTGGGCTCGTTGGATTTGTCTCGTTGAGCCGCTCGATTCTACTATAAGCACGTAATGTTTGGAAACCGTTTGGTAATCCAAATTGTGGTTTGAACCTTCCAGCAGTGCTTTGGGTCCTTGATTTGGACTCATTTGGGCTCGGAATGAGTTGAATTTGGTGTCGTTGGGTTCGTATTTCCGAGACGTTCAGTTTGACTGTAAGTTTGCTGAAATCGGAGTTCGGATGGTTTCAATTTTAATTTTGGAAGTTTCCAACTTGATTTTGCATCGAGATTCATGCCCGATCAAGATAATTTTTCTATGACGTATCAGTTACTATCAATGCAATTTTGCTGCATTCTCTCTCTCTTTTAAAAGAAAAAGTGCTTCACGTCTATATGACCAATTTTATCATAACAGCTAGGTTAATAAGCACCTTTTCTGAGTTGAATATTTTCTCTTTTTGTCTTGTTAGGTCCGACCCCACGTAGTGGGATAAAGGCTTGATGTTGTTGTTGTTGTTGTTGTTTGTCTTGTTAGGTGTTAGGATTCAAGGAAAATCTGAGATTTATTTTGGCAGTTTGATTTTTCCACAATTATAACAAAGAACTTAGCAATTTGCTGCCTGTCCAACTTAATTTTGCATTCAATCTCGGAAGGGTACTCCTTGTGTGTTTGTTCTTCACATATGATAACAATTTGTTGATTCCAATTGCTAAAGTCAAATGTAGATGGTGGAAAAGCCTGTTTTGTACTTCTCAATGCAGATAATGTTACCCTACTCTATTTCTTCTGCATGGAATCATCAATATAACTCATCCAATCTAAGTATTTCGCATTCTTTTAATCCCATAATGTAGAAATTCTAATCCAACTCAGTATAGCACATGAGGATTTCTTTTAATAGTGTAACTTTTTCGTTTAACAAGTATATGAAACCAAGTCACAAGGTTCTCTTATTTATTTTTGCAGAATAGTAGTTTAGATCGGTATTTTTACGGTGGGTGGTGGTCAGTCTGGTGGACAGGCACTTACAGCATGGTTCTTTCAAAGGCAGCTTTTTTCCATAAGAAATATCTACATTTATACTCTACTAATATGTCTCAGTCAATACGGAATTATGCAACGAAAAACAGGTGCTTTTGACTTCAATGTGAATAATTTTAGTATTATCTGATTTGCTGCTCATGACAATCCTTTCTATTGCCTGTAGAAACTGTGAAGATATTGCAATGGCTTTTCTAATCGCAAATGAAACTGGAGCTCCACCTATATGGGTGAAAGGTGAAGAAATACATGTGTTATTTTTATCCTCCAAACTGGATAAGAAATTTAAGAAATCGTTGTAAGTGGGCTTCCTATTTGCGTTTTTTACAGGAAGGATATTTGAGATGGGATCGAGTGGGATTAGCAGCCTGGGAAACCATGAGGAGAGGAGGACACAGTGTCTCAACGATTTCACGGCTATGTATGGCCGTATGCCTTTGGTTGCAACCAACGTGAAAGCCATTGACAGCCGAAGCAGTTGGCTCTGGTGATTGTGATCATAGTGCTTATGTATAGGTATGCGTTAGTTAGTTAACTTGCTAGGCTTCGTACACTCTTTTTAATTCAGATGTTGGATAACAGTTGCAATGATTCATTTGTCAACTATTTTGATCAATCAATAATAGGAGAGTTCTATTTCTTAACAAATTTTTAAAATTTGAGAACACTCAATGACGTAGTAAATGCATCTTTTTAAGTTGTTTCGGGCTAGAGATGTAAGGGAAATCTACAGGGAGCCTGAGCTACTGTATATTCTTTGTTGTATATATATATATATATAAAGATCATTCAATACTGATTGTTTGAATGATAAGACTTATATCTACTTACTTTTATATAATTTACTATTTAAAAACTATTTCTTATATCTCATGATAATTTAACAGGCACGTTTTAAAAAATATTTATCATAAGATTCAGCTGACAGGCCTCTCTCTCTCTCTCTCTCTCTCAAGACAAAATTTCTCTCTCAACACGTTTAATTTCCATCAATAACAGTAAGATGAGACTCTCTCTCTCTAACCATAGAGAGAAAACTCTTTCAAACATTTGTGTCTCTCAGTGGTGGGCACACCTAAACTATTATAAACCAAACCTTCTTCAGTCCAGATGCGAACCTAAGCCACAGTAGCACGCGAACTCGACCTCAACTCTGGCCAACTGAGAGTCTTCTACGGCTGTAAGGGAGGCTCGGTTTGGAGGCACGGCGTGAGAAAATTAGCTGATGTCATGCAGTTCGGCTCGAATCGGCATAGAAGAAGGAATCGGAGGGCTGGCTTGAGGCACAGGAGGTGTGGATAGGCTTTCACGTGAGATTGGAGCTGTTGGATCGTCGGATCAGTGCGAGTTGAAGTTGAAACAAGCGGTGGTGGAGGCAGATTCACCTAAGCGTCGAAGGTTGCAGGAAAATCAAGAAACGAATAACCTTTATTTATTTTTTTTTTTTTTTAACGAGAGCCAGAAGGATTGACGAGTTGCTGTGCAGTAAAGCCGGGAGGAGACATCTGTGCGAGGCTTTCAATGGGATTTTCGGGGATTTGGCAGAGAGAAGAGCAGCCCAGATAAATAATCTTAGTTAATTTAATTTCATTACTTTAAATTTCATCAATTGATCAATTTAATAAATAATAGTGATACTATGTTATTACCATTATTATTAAATTCCACAACTGTAGAAATGGGTCAAATACTTAAAATCGCCTCGGTTTATGCGTGATTCCCTCAATTTGCACGAGATCGCCTCGAAACTTGTGCCGATTTGCATGTGTGATTTCCATTGGGCAAAATTATAGTTGATCTTAGGTATTGTCGATGCTCCGGACGCAACAAACAAATTCTGTTTTGCGATGGATGTAATTTGGGCAACGTTGCGTGTTAATTTCTTTAATTTGCACGTCATTGCCTCGGGAAATATATTAATAGAGCTTACAAAATTCAAATAACAAAATAAAATATTTAAATATTTGATAATTGTGGTGTTAAAAATAAATCTTACCTGAAAGAAACTATTTCAAAATATCTCAAATTCTTGAGCAAACTATTTTGAATTTGATTTCAAGCAAAAAACAAGAATACAAATTAAATTAATAAAAGTTAAAACATTTAATCAATATACTTCTAAAATTACTATGACTCCGATGGAACTCAATTTATGGCAACATTGTAATCAAAATTTATGCATTGGTTTTAAAAATCAGATCGGATCGGCTGGTTTAACCAGAAATCGATCAGCCGGCCGGTCCGGTTACTTAATGAAAACTATTTATCACTCAAACCAGGGAAAAATCGGCTATTTTTCTGGTTGAAGCATAGAATCGCTTAACTTGGCGGTTTAAGAAGAATCTCCTTGTTCTTTATTTATGTGAATCACTGCCATCCGTTGAAGATTGGATGAGTAAATTTTTTTAGGAAAATGTAATCCGTTAAACGAGTGCACTAAGAGGAGAAACACATGCTCAAATTTCTCTCCCAAAATACGTTTTATGTCTTTGTTCCTCTCCCGATACTCTATCCTAAGCTTTCGAAGGCTATCGCTCGTAGTGTCAAAGCCTCAAAGGTGTTTCTGAAATTCGTCAAATAGTTGTGTAAGACAGAAGATATGCTAAATCGTGCTTCTACATTCAATCCCTATTCTTATTTTATGCAACTTTCTTTTATTATGGATTACATAAATTCATGTTATAGGTGTAATGGGATAATGTATTTATTCATAGAATGGGGCTTTTATCAGAATAAGTTCTTTAATGTTGTCTACATTTGCTTTGTTGGACTTTGAAGCTGTTTTAAATGGTTTGTTCATTCATATTTGTGGCCTTGTGGGGAAAGGGAGACTAGACTTGTGCAATTTTTCATTGATAGGAAATTATTTATGCAATTTATCCAGCAACTTTATGCATCTATTGAACTCCCTTTCAACCATTCTTTGTTTTTTTTTTTTAAATATGTTTGAAGCTTGAACTGTTAAGACAATTAATTGAAAATTATTGTTTATTTTATCTTTGTTTCATAGATATGAGCTTCCATTATCTTCAAAAGTTTTTTTAGTATATATGCATCTTTATAATTTTTGTTTATTTTTTTCATGCTAAAGTGTTGCTATTAATTCTCATTTTGCCATCATATTTTTAGATTTCCACCCATTAAAGAAAAAAGACGAGAAGCTTTGGTGCAAAAATTATAATTACTATTTAGTATCATGAAAAAGAGCTCAATTGCTGAAACAGATTATATTTTTAATTTTAAAATCAATTGTATAAATTTTATGCTTCATAATTATTAACTCTACTTAATTTTTAACATATATTTTATATCATAACATCA